AGCCATGCTGGCTGGGGAATTCTGGGAGTTGAAGTCCACACATCTCACAGTTCCCAAGGCTGAGAAACACTGAATTGAAGGGTCAGACCAGGACTGAGAAAATCTAGCCTTAAATCTACCCTGAGCCATGAAAGCTTGGTTGTTATAGGGAAGACATGGAAGAGGGAGGGCTATGCATGCCAACCTGAGCTTCTGGAGGAAGAGCAGGATATTTCCTTCATAAATGTGTCTTCTACTCTACACTTGACCAAAGGCCAAGAAGCCATAAAATAAATTCCATAGGCAGTTGTGGGAAACAAGATGCTCCCCCTGATGTGCCTTTGATTTGATCCGACAAGATTCTTCTTCTGCCAATCCCAAAAAATTAGGATAGCCCAGGTGGGTAAAGTAAGATTAAGACTAATCTTAATCTGGTATTTTGTTTTTCATAGTTGCTAATGAGCAGGATATTGAGACATAACCTCCCTTTGACTGTTCCCTTGCAACTAGTATTTGGAAGCATATTGCACTCCAACACAGAGGTAATATTGTGTCTCAGAACAAACAGCTGTTGATGACAGCTTTTCTCCTGCTTTCCTACTGAACATTACCATGAATTTTGCTTTTTTTCACAGCTACCCCACACAGGCTCAGCATCCTCACTGAATATCCACTGTGGCTGCTAAGATCTTTTTCATAATGAGCTATAGAGAGCTCGAAGCCTATATGTGATGAAATAGCCCCCAAGTCTGCTGTGAATCAAGCTTCAAATTAACCCGCTTTAGAATATTATCCAGATGTGGCCACTGATATTAACTGTCCCAATTAAAATCGTTGTGCAAACAAAAGTGCTGGCTTATATTTACATTTGAAGCTAAAATCCTTTGTCTTTTCCCCTTCAAAATTCTGCAGCCTTTCCCATTCCACATCACACCAGACAACCAAATTCTTCCTGTGTCTGCATTGTTAACAGAAAAAAGTTCTCTGGGCGCCATCTAGCGACACAAGGTGCAATTACAGAATATTTAGCAATATCTAGCCAAAGGGTGCCTTGCCTTCCAACCCCATCACATCTGAAAGCGCCCAGGCAAACACTGGTTTCAGCTTGGCTGTTTTGGGATTACCTGCAAATAAACTTAAATCCGTCCACATGATACTGAACTGCAACCTAGGCAAGCGCATTTTACCCAGCCATGTGTGGTGAAGCCAGTCTGTTTTACAGTATTAGGTTATTGCTTGGCTGGCTGGGGAATTCTGGGAGTTGAAGTCCACACTGCTTAAAGTTGCCATGTTTGAAAAATACTGGTTTATTGCTTAGTGTGTTGTGGAAAGCTGGGAAATGGATCTAATGGCATTAGCCACGGTTTACCATGGGAACGTGAGATGTGCAAACACAGCCATTCTATTATTGCATATGCATAGAAAAGGGGAGCATAATTTATTGTCAGCCTATTTGTCTCTGAAGTTCTGATTGGGGTTTATATTCCTGTGGGTTGTTTTTTTTATTTGATACATTAATCTACTTTAGTCATTTTGAGGAAGATGTGAATTCTGTAGGTGAAGGATGGACAAATAGGAGCATAACACTTCCCCATACTCATCTCCATTGTGATCTGTAAACAGTGGCTGTGCTTAAAAATCCTCTATATCTTTCTACATTATCCATCCATCCATCCATCCATCATCATTATCATCTTTCTTTTATTAGGCTGGAAATATCTAGGTTTCTAATAAGGCATAGTGATTTTCTGAACTTAGCATAGAGTAGAACGTTCAAACTTGTGTGAGATTTCAGTAATCTCACTAGCAAACTTTCACACGATTTACCTGGTGCTATTCTGATTTTCTCACACCAGATCTGGCAAGATGAAGCTAATTTGAATTTAATTTGGGGAGTCTACAAAAGCTCTGTGCTCTCACTCCCTGCTCTATGAAGTGTTCCCATGCGGTTAGATCCCTGATTCTCCAAGCTTTTATACAAGGACGGCATGTTCTGAGGGCTCAGTGCCTCCAGTTGCTAGACAACAAGAGGTTTAATTGATTTTGCACTTAGACACTATCTGAACTAGTTAGTTTTTATCCAGCCTGTTGTACAGGAACTCAAGGTGGCATACATATTACTCCCTCCTATTTTTCCCCACAACAGCAATACTGTGAAGTGGATCGGGCTGAGAACAAGCAACCGGCCCATAAGCACCCAGTGAGTTTCTGTGGTTGAAGATGGATTAGAACTTGGGTCTCCCTGCTCTTGCCAACACCTCAACCACTGTACCACACAGGCTGTCAAACCTCTCAGGAGTTTTTATCTTCTGCAACCACCTAAATTATTATCTAATCATGTTAATGTAAAGGCTGCGAAATTCCTTTGTTTTTGCTCTCTATCACTGACAGCTAATTGTCTGTTTCCAGAACTGGGAATTTGGAGCAAACGTTTTCTTTGGTGCTGAAGATCATGTGCATGTGAAATCCACAAACACCTACTTTCAGCCCATAAATTCCATTTTTGCACTGACTGATGGCATTCTTGCAAGCCACTGGGCTAGAATAAAATAAGATTCGTGGTTCTGAGAACTCAGCCATTTTCTTGTTCTGTGAACCATTGTATTAAAACTTTGTATAGATTATTTATTTGATCATTGCATGTTATACGGTAGCGCTTTGTTAACTCAGATGTAATATTGTGGAAATCTAGCTACCTTGCATTGCACATTTTATGGCTAGCCTAATTTTGGGATTTGTTTTTCCTTATCCCATTTTTGTTTTGATACCATCTTATCTGACAAAGAAGCTAAAAAAACTTACATTCTATTTGTGTAATTCTGGCTTATTCTAATAAAGGCATCAGCCTTTATTACCATCTCGTTCGGGATCTCTGATTTTCAAGGATCTTTTCAATGAGCTGCCTGCCATGCAACTTGCATCTGCATCACTGACCTGTCGTCCCCTGAATCTCACTTCAATTTAAATCCTACATCAATCTAGCCATTCTATGCATCTGATGAAGCAAGCTGCCGTTCACCAAAACATATGCCTTTTAATAAAATTTGTTAGAAGAGTTGCTACCAGACTCCCAATTTTTTTTTTGGCCACCATAGACTAACCCAGTTCTCCTACAATTTCAATAAACTGAGGGTCCTTCTGCAAACTTGCTTCAGCAGATGGCAGGGGCAAACTGACCTTGACTGATCTCAGAAGCTAAGTAGAGTCAGCTCCAGTTAAGACATGGATGGGCCTCAAGTTGGAATTCCAGAGCTGTTGGCTTGACTGAGAAAGTGAAAAAATATGCTGGAAAAAAGGCAATGAAAAACTTCTTCCAAAACATTACCAGGAAAACTAGATACTGTTACCAGGCCTAACCTTTGCTGTAAACTCAGTCTCTGCCTGGAAGGTAACAAAGGGAATCTAGAATCACTGGGTCTGCTGTACTTGCCCTTCCTCAAATTAAGAGTTTGATACTTTCAGTATAATTCAAGAAGGTTGCAGTCAAACATAGCAAGGGTAGGAAACCCAAGTTTGCACTCCCTTTAACTTATCTCACCAGACTGCAATGACAAGGGATCCCCATATACATCAACTAGTGCTCTTTTGAAGAAGGCTGAGGTAAAATAATGGAATCAAACAATGGATAAAAACTCAGGATAATACTTTATTGTGTGACTATTAAGCAAAACTAAGTTATGCATTTCATTCCCTTTTTAAATGGATGATGAAAAACCTCAAATAATTTTGCAATTTATTCATGGGCAGAACGGCTGCATCGAACAAACTGGAACCTTAAGTTTAGCCAGTAACGTAAATCTTTAACTAGAAAAAAAGTCAAAAGCAGGAGGACTGAGCATATTGCTCCCACTGTGACCCTAAGGGTTCTTACATTAAGAAAATAATCCTGTCTCTCATGAGAGACCTGATAGAACTTATCACCCAAAGTGGGAGTAGAAAGTTCCAGCTACCTACTTTTCCCACCAGGGCAGTGTTTCTCAACCTTGGCAACTTTAAGACCTATGGACTTCAACTCCCAGAATTCCCCAGCCAGCAAGGAGAATTCTGGGAGTTGAAATCCACAGGTCTTAAAGTTGCCAAGGTTGAGAAACACTGCACTAGAGTATATAGGATATATGTGAAACAAATAAGGTAAAGAAGTACCAAGCCCATTTCAGAACATTCCCCTACAATTTTTCAAGTAGCTTATGTTCCAAAAAGACAAAAATAAAAAATGCAGATGGGGACAATGGGAACTTGAAAGAAGAATTTTGTCCTTGTTTCTTTGTCCTCCCAAAGACCACTTTGAAACAAGACCTTGCCTTGTTTTCCTTCCCCAGGGGTGGGTCAATAATTCTTGGAAGGTGCCACATTTTTTTTAAATGCCATCAAAGAAATCATATATTTTTGATCACTCTTTTCAGCGAAAATAAAACAAGTGGGATTAAACCCATACCTACTTGACCAACAGCATTCAAATTATCTCCTTGGAGCTGCTAGTGAGGTGAATTTGGGAATGGTGACCACAATTCCCATTTTATTCTGTTTATATCAGGAGTTGGAGAACTTACGAACCTCCAGAGATTGCTGAACTGCAACTGTCAGCAAGTCCAACTAGCATGGTCAAAGGTGAGAGATACTGGGAGGTATAGTTCAGCAACACCTGGAAGGTGACAAATATCTCCCTTCTGTTTATATATACACATAAATTCATATGACTTGGAAACCACTTGTTAATAGTATCTTTACATTTCCAAAGAGATAGACTATCTCCTGCAAACAATGCTGTGCCAACAGAAGAGGCATAGTTCAAAATAGTGAGATTTCACTGGAAGATGGATTTGATGCATCTTTTCATTTCATAAAATTTGTCATGTTTTTCCTTTATTTATTAGCATCAGCAGTCAATGCAACTGAGCATAAGTATACTAGTCTTCAAGAATTGGGATGCAATTAAATTAATGTGAAGAATATACATTGTCTCTGCATATTAACTGGATAAGATCAGGGTCTGTTACCAAATTCACACTTCCAAAATGTAAAATTTCTCATCCTCATCGTTTAGCGGTCTGAGAGGTAACAATCCTTCACTAACATTGATCTCTGTTCCTTTAGAGTTTCCAGCCTCTCTGGATCCTAATTTGTGTTTTTCCTTCTCATTTTCCCTCTTTCCATTTTCTTTTTGCTAACCTCACTGACCATGTATAATCTTTGAGAACATAATAAATTACTCAAAATAAGACATGTATTTTGAGTATAATCTGGATTTCTTTAATAGAAAGACAGTCTAGTTCTACCTTTCTATTCACCTGTCAGCTCTAAGAATAATCTTCAGTGAACAAGAATTAATACCAATGTTCCAAGAAAGGATCTAGCCCTCCTTATTTTGTGATGCATTTCCAGACTTTGTCATGAACACAAATTCCACCATTGGTATTTCTCCAGTTTGTCCACCCTAATCTAGTACTATGTTCATTATCTGTTGCTTCCTGACTTCTCCAGGGCAACTCTGGCAGCTGAAACTTCATATTTCACAAGACTGTTAATTTTGTAGCTGTTGTCTCTTCTGCCTGGATGTCTTCTTTGTTGTGCTGTGCTGCCAGAGTATCAGTTGAATCCAGGTGGTTCTCCTCAATTTTTAAAGCAAGGTTGTCAAACCCAGTACTATCTGCCATTGGCAAGGTGGTTGAGGCAACTTCTGCAGTACGGGTTGGGGTGGAGCAGTACATGATGAAGCCTATCATGATGACCACAAAGGATAAGAGATACAGCACTGAAAACTGATGAACACAAAAAGAGAGAGAGAGAGAGAGAAAGAACAGAACATGAATAATCTCTTCCATACAAATACAGGTAACTATAAAATCCATCTTAAACATGGGCATCCAGAGGAGTCAGGGATATTATGTTTATTATGACATCTCTGCATAAATGATGTAAATGATATAATGTGCATCATTTATATGATGGTGCAAATGACCCAAATGACACTATTTGCATCATTTATGTGATGACATGACACAGACAACATCAACATGGCTTCTACCAGATGGTTATGCTCTTAACCCTAGGCATTTTGTAGCTTTTTTTTTTAATGGCAGAGGGTTTACTGCAACAGGAGCACTGTATCTAATTCTTTCAATTACATTTGGATAGTTATGGAGCCAGCTCAAGGCCTGTGCTATTCGATGGACAGAAAGAGAAGGTAGGAGAGGATTTAATTCTAGGCCTTTCCCCAATCACACATCACTTTTGCTCTACTTAGCCAGCTTTCTCATCTTCCCTTCCATTATTGATTCACACAGCAACAGCCAAAGAGAGTAAGCCTTAGGCCCAGCATTAGCTTCAACATTCCTTCAAATCTGAAGACATAATTTAGCTACAGGAGCAAGTTTATGCAGTAAGAAGTTGGTATCCATCTTGACCTTTCACCTTTGGTTTTGGTATGAAAGCTGAAATGTATTGTATCTGTCTATAAGATAGATTTGGACGCAGCAGATCAGAAAAGAATTAAAAACTCTGAAGCTCTGTCTGTCCTCAGACAAAGGGTAGATGTTCTGTCTGCCAGAAATTCTAGAAGAACCAGAAATTCTAGAAGCAGTTCCAAGATATCTCTGGCTAGTGAGATAACAGACAAGGTCTCCACAGCATGATGAAATAACTCTGGTTCAAGGCTCCAAATCTGTATCATGTAAAGTTGAGACTCTATCTTTATCTCAAAATGTTTCATAACACTCCAATTTGGCAGTCATCCAAATTAGGAGACAGATATGAGAATTTTTGCTTCTAACATAAATTTTAACTTGCTGGCAGCACAGGACATAGTTGAGCAGCAGATGGAATTCTTTTGCCTTCCAAAATAGCTGAAGGGAGATTATTAAATCGAGCCAGTGTTAAGGCCCTTCTCAGCTTAGATACTGTAATATAATTTTAAGTATCTTGCAGGTCTGAAAAGGTAAGATGGACTGCTCAGGAAAATTTTCCCGGGCAGGAGAGATGGTCTTGTCTTTCGAGAACATGTTGTGTCAAAATTGTCTTGGCTTGTTCAAACCCCAAAGGGAGGAGAGCCTCTTGTGAAAAGGCACAAAAGTGCAATTTGTCAAGGAGAGTGCTCTTCCGCCTAGCACTACTACTGTCTGCTAGTGTCAGGGAATAAAACAGCGGTATTAAACTTGCTGCCAAAATTGGGGAAGTCTAGAGCAATGCCAGCTATATTATTTACACTTGGAAAGTGATAGAAGCAAGAGCTTGCTAACACATGTATATTTTTTCTCTTAGAAATCTTCAACTTCACAAGAATCACAAAGAAGAATCAGTCAGCATATCAGAAGAATAGTAGAATTAAATTAAAACACATATGCACACATAGGTAAGTATGGTGGGGCAGAAAACACAGTAGCAGCTGAGTTCGGTCTGCAGTTCCTCAGTTCATCATAGCTATTGACCACATGGGTCCCCCAAAAACCTCCCAAGATCACATGAGTGCCCTAGACACCTCCTACATGAATATATCTATGTTGTTTTCTTGGCAACTATATGAAAGAAGTTTGCCACTCCCTTCGCCTGAGATGTTTTTCCAACCTCCAAGCCAAGCCTACAGCTGGGACTCCCAGTGTTTCCTATGCAAATATTAACTGGGTCCAATCTGCTCTGTTTTTTCAAGATCAGCAAAGGTTGGCCTAATACTACCACTTGCTGTGATTGGACAGTAATTATATTACCTATCATTAGTTCTAATTCTGTTTAAGTGTAAATGAAATTAAACCAAATTTACTTTTCTGCCTTGGCCCCCGTCATGTCACTCAAAATCCAAGTGCAGTCCTTGATGTCCAAATTGTCATGCACACCTGCTATAAACATTTAGAAGACCCTAAATCCAATCATAAATAAAGTTTTAGCCAACTAAACGTTGAACTGCACATCTTTGAACGAATTACTCTGAGGCCTGCAAGCTCTGCCGATTTAAGAAAATGTAATTATTCAGTTAAATGTAATTTTTCTTCTGAGAAAAGAACCTGTTAAGAATTCTGAGTAAGCTGAAAAGCTTTAATATTCTTTAATCAACAAAGGTTGGCACATTAAAGGTTCTCTTATGCAGGTAGTTTTATATCATTCCAGCTCTGTATTATATATTCTGACTCAAAGCTGCTTCTCCAAATCTGCCAGCCATGCTTATTTCTTATTATTCTGTTAAAGCAGAAATACTTGTAACTGAACTATGGACCTTATGAATGAAAACAAAAGCTGTAGTATGTGAGTCACACCCTCTCTTTGCCTAACTCAGCTCTATCTCTGAATATATGCAGTATTATAAAACATATAGCAAGTCAACATTATTTAATTTGGTATAAAGATTTACTTGTTAATACACACCATCTGAAAATCCAGTCAGAAGCACAAAGATGTTGTATGTGCAGAACAAAGAGCTTTAAAACCAAAAGAAAACTACTCTTTTAGATCTGAAACCAGCTCCAGGCCAAAAATCTGAGACAGCAGTATTGCTAGGAAAAAATGATCTTTTGGAGTCATAAATCTAAGCTTCTTAAAAGGGCAGATTTTCAGCTCATCTCCTCATAGCTATTTCAGCAAATCAGTTATCCAAATGCAGTAGACAATGCTGGTTGATCACTGTAAAAACATACTGTGATGGAGACCTGCAGCAAGCTGAGAGTTTCATCAGATCAACCAGAATAAACTTGCAAGATCTTATTCAGACTGCATGGTTTATGTGCAGTGGCTCATTAAGGGAGGGGCCCTAGAAGAGGACTGGCCTGCTTTTCATGGTAATATGTGCCCTGGCTTTTCCAAACTGGTATTCTCCAGATGTGGTAGCACTACAGATCTCAGAATTCATGGCTTTTTCAGATTCCCAGGTTTTATCTCATTTAGGGAAACTCAAGCATTGCTTGTATTCATACACTGCACTAACTCATAAATATGTTTAGCTTGCTTTTGGGGAGCATGACATGTGACCCCAACAAGTGTAGTGTGGAAACGGTGGTTTTGGCTTAGGGCAAAGTAAGAATCAGGATCACAATAGCTCAACAAACCAGAGTTAAAACAAGCAATGATGGGGAATCTTTTTGCTTCCAAGAACTTCAGGAGGGATAGCCACCATACAAGGGGACAGAGATGAATTTTAAGCTAATTTTCCTTATTGGGGAACAGGTTTTAAGAAAGCTGGGGTATTAAAGAGAGCCTTAATAAATCCAGCAAAATTGCTCTATCACATTTCTATATTTTGCTACTGAATTTGGGTGATGTGACTTATGGGCCATGAAAAATGGGCTGGGGGGTGCATGTAGCCACTAGTTGCCCCCTTCGGGCTTAGGCAACTTTGCTGAACAACTGCCCACCTCATTTGTTGTCTCCAGTAGGATCAGATGCTTGGCAGTCAAAACTGCATGACAAGGAAAGGTGGCTGACATCCTTCCATTCCCTACAAAAATAACCTATCTGCAGATATGCTTTTATTCTCCATGCATCTGATGTAGACTCTAATCTACAAAAACGTACACTGTAATAAATGTGAATTCTAACCAATGAACATTTATGCTACAATAAACCTGTTAGTTATTAAAGGGTTGCAAAACTGCTGATGCTTTTACTCCTTATTGCAATCATACTTGAACGAACTCAATTACCGGGATCCGAGTCTCTCTCACCTTGTAGCCAAACAGGAAAAGTCCAAAGAAAAGGCTATAGAGATCAGCGGTCAGGATGCCCAAGTTGACGGAGGTGGCACTGGTCACCCTAATCACAATCGGCATGAAACTGTACAACCCAAACATACACAGGGCAAAAGCTAAGAAGAGCAGGGCTGAAAAAGAAAGCAATGGCTTATCAATTCAGAAACTAAATGTCAAGAATACAACAGAGGGAGTAGGGCAAACACCAATATTCAGAAATTGCTTTTTCCCACCATCAACACTTTTGTAAAACTGTCATGATCTATATGCAGATTGTCCCAATACAGGTGAGACAACAATATCCACAATCCCTAATCGCTGGCCATCCTGGCTGGCAATGAGAACTGTAGCCAGGCAACAGATGGGAATTCAAGACTGCTAAACTAAACACTTATTAACAGTTAATGTCAAATCCGCAGGCCCCTACAGCAAGTGGAGATGACATCAAAATGAAGACACGCACAGTGACATCATGATGCAAACCCTAGCCTTACATACTTGCTTCCTGATACCTGATGCAAGTATAAAAGTTGTAGGTTTTATGTCATGACATGTTTTCTTACCTCCATCCTCTTACACACACAGACACATATATAAACAGGAATGCCCATAGCCACAGCCTTTTTTTTTACAACTCACCCACATCGCTTCTGGAAACCAAAAAGTTCCTTTTATTATTAGAGTCATTTCTACCATTTCAGAAGCACCAGCAAGACCTCTTCCTCTAATCTTGTTTTTCACTGCTGTGATTCAGCTAGGAGAGAGTTAGGATTTCCCCCCAGGCCTTTAACCAAGGTTCTATGGCTATTTTCAGAAAATTTCTTTATAAAAGATCAGACTGATTTGACCAGCTAACCTGTAGTGTTCGATGATGTCAGAATGAGGACATGCACACAATGATGCCATCATGTAAACAGCACTATGAGATCATCACACATGCATGATTTGCACCTCTTGCCTTTCCCGGCAGATGCCCCATGGGGGGCTTTTCTATTAGTTGCTCCCTAATCCTTTTAAATAAAATTAATCTTGGCTCCTCCATGGGCAAAGAATCTGCTTTGTCATTACGGTGCTTCCCTTCTTGTTTCTTGCTCTGCACCATAAATGAAAATAATTAAACTAATGGGGTACATTCCAGAAAACACTGAGAATGTCTAAATCACAATATCTTCAATCTAATGAAGAAAACAAACAGGAAAGATTAAGTTTAATTGTACTGATCATTTGTATTCAACAATGTGAGGAGAATGTCTGGATGTAATGCATTTTTCTCTAAACTGGTACCTAGTATTGCAAAAACCCCTCTATCCCCACTTTGTTATTCATTTCAGTTCAGCAGGTAACATAAATATAATGAAAGTAGGCCTGATATGCAAAGCAATTCAATGCTTATTTGTCCCGGTGTTTCACAGCACACATACATACCAATTTTCCAGTTCCACTGAATGATAGCTATGTCTCTATGTTCCACAATAGCTCTAAAGAAATGGCAGGGAAAGAGGAGGAGAAAGAATAAAAACAGAAAAGAAATACAAATTAAAATGTGAGGCTATTGTTTCCAGAATTAGCTTACAGCAAATTAGCTTAAGAATTCATGTTTACTTAAAAGTCAGTCCCACTGGGTTCAATGGAGCTCACTCTCAACTCAGAATGTATAGAATTACAGCTTTGGAGATCCATACACATAAAAACATTTTCTTGCTCCTTAAAGAAGAACAGATTTAAAACAGCATAAGCTTTCATAAAATAGAGCCCACTTTGTCAATTATATTCTCTTAAAATAGTTAAATTGTGTTAAGAGTCAGGTAGAATACAAATTTTGATGATAATGATGATGATACAGTATGTATTATATTAGAAAGCACAGAAAAGAGAGTTTTTTGATGAATTGAAAACTGTCACCAGAAAGTTAAGAATTTTTCTAAAAAAAGAACCCTGGACTTTCTAAGATTCACATAAAAACCCGTAAAATGGTTTTGCTGCATTCAAACACATAAGTCCACATCTCAACATCTGGCATATCAAGAAATAGGTATTTGTTGTACATCGTAATGGAAAAGAAGCTTACTAATTGAAACACATTTACTTGCTCAGTCAGACAAGGCCCACAGAATTCAGTCACGATAGGATCAGAGGGATTAATATGGAAATCAAAAACATGTTTATGAAATATTATTTCCACATCCTTTTCTCAAAATTAATCAGCATTTATTCTCACTGAGCATATTAATTCTTTAACAATTATTTCCTCACCTGTACTTTTTAGCAGAAATCTGTTGTTCTAAAGAAAAACTAGGATTTGAAAAATGTTCCCTAAATGCTGATACCTCCCTTGTACTATTTCAGTTATATAGGGAATCACACCCAGAAAATGATCTTGCTGTTAATATAAAGTATTATTTTAAGAAACAATATGAGGAACCTTGTGCCAGCAACTAACCCACAGCTTCAGGTTTCATTGGTCTAGTTCACCCAATCAATTAAGCCAGTATGGAGTGCAAAATATAGACAACCACTATTGGCAGCAAAAAGATTGTGAAAACCATAACTATGCTTCTGTGATCATCCACATTTTTGTATACAGTACTGGGAAAGATGGTGGGGAGACAGGGAAAGTAATGGAAGAGAGAGTGTACATAAACAATGAAGAAATACAAGGTGAGTTCTTTAGTAGTTCCTTTTATAAACAGCAACTCAGCCCAGGTGGCAAGAAACATGAGAAGAATTGTTTCAAATCATTCAGCGAGACTCTGTTTTAATTATTTAACTATAAATGAGAGTTGGAAATTTAATGGGCCCCAACATTAGCGCCCCCAAAATTCTAAAGTAAATAAATAAATATAGAAATGAACCAATGAGAACAGTTGAATTTCTGCTTGCTCTAACTGTAAAAAATAAAGGGTCTGTAGCAATGATTGCAGAAAGTCAGGATCTGAACCCACTAATGGTTAATCTTACAGAATCTTTAATCCCATGACTAGTTCTATGAAAGTCAAAGAGATTATTTGCATGAATAACCATGTGCAGGACTTGAAATTTCACCTGACTGCACAATCAGCTCATAAGCCACAAGCAGTCAAATAAATACTAAATTCAGGCTATGTACAAGGTGTACACATTAGATCAGGCAGGCAAATGAAACTTTAGTATCATTAGTTGTCAGATGAAACCTGAAGGTTTCCCCTGTAATCTTATGTCCTGCTTGCTATAGAAGGTAAGAGACAAGAGTTGGGGACAAGCAATAAGTGTAAGAAAGCTTGGTGGTCCAAGTCAAGAAATGTGAAGATCTCTCCATGTTACAGCCCTGCAAACCTACAGACGTTCAAACTCCCAAAAAGGTTAGTTGTGATGTTAACAATGGATTAATAAAACACCCACCAATTAACAGAAGAGAAATCATTCTGTGCTGTGGATGGTTTTCTTAATTACAATTAAAATACATATAGTAGATCCTTACAGCTGCAGACCGCTGATAACAGTCCCAAACAAGCCCACCATTCCTAGAAACTCCATTCTGCTCAGATTTTTCACAATGTATTCTTCACTCACATTCGAAATGGCATATAATGAAGCGCCAAGGAGGACTAAGACATCTCCAACCACCACGTCACTTCCTGCGCAGAAAACAGGGACAATAACAACAAAAAGGGAATTTTAATAGTAAAATTAAAAGGATTATTGGTAATATTTCCAATACTGAAAACCTTTAGGGGAAGGAGTCTCTTTTCTCCTTTTTATTCAATAGGCATTGGCTGTTTCTCTTCAAAACCCAACTCTGATTTGAGTTGACTAGTTTCAAACAAATGATAGATAGGATTTGGAACATTTTCTTATATTTACCTTCCTTTTAAGGTACATCACTCAACTAACTGACCATGACTGTCCTCAAAAAACTAAGCAAAATCTGTCCTGGATAGCAGTTGGGTGGGAGAGCACCAGGAAATCTTCAGAAAACATCCCAGAATGAAATAATGATTACCCCTTTCCCATATTATTGTTGAGAAATCACCCAGCAAGAATCTCAACTTGAAAAGACTTTACTTTCAAGGTATATCAGTTAAAGGCTTAAGAATCTCTTTTTATATGTAATCCTGAGTATATTAAGGAGGCTGGAGGTGCAAGTGAAAGCTTTTAGTTTCCCTTCTGATTTCTTTCCTGTGTCACTTTTTTAATACAGGCAAATTCTTCCAACTACAAATGCTGAAGGTGTTCAGATTCCAAGATTTATGCACAGATAGGTTCCCTGTATCATGGAAGCAAATAAGGCCTCAGAAGGATATAACAATCAATTAGTTAGATATCAATGAGATTGCACACTTCAGCTCTCACACTATATTCTTAAGTCAAAATTTGTGAACAAGTAACATTTAATGACCATAAAAATCCACAAAGAATAACATCCAAGATATATAAAATAATAGCAGAAGAAAATACAGGCTCTTCTAAGAATCTTAAGAGTAGTTTGGAAAAGTATAACTTGAATGGCTATACAGATCCTGAACAAAATATAGTAAAATGAGCCTCTCAAAACCTGTTCTGTAAAAATCAGAAAAAAATATTAAAAATAGTATAAAAATACCCAATTTGAATCCATATGAATTGTACTGTTTCCCATAATTGTTGGAAAGGATTTAATGAAAGAGGAACTTACCTATATTTATTGAAGAACTCGATTCAATTCAAACTTTCGGCCTTAATTGTACAAAACTATGTGTTGTAAAATTAAGACCAACAACTAGCCTGTAATGTCTTTACTATCTATCTTTATCTGGCTGGAGCAATAATGACCAAGGTATTGTTCACGTTTCTCTTCTCAGCATGAAATAACAGGGGAACAAAACTGAAAATCAGCATTAAATCCAGGATTGTCCAAAAGATCACAACAGCAGCGACAACCACGTGTTTGAAGCCCTGCCCCTTTTTATGTATGTTGTGCATGTGAGGCACATATAAAAGGGGTGGGGCTTCAATCATGAAGTTGCAGACACCATCTTGACTTTATTTATCCCCCCCTCCCCGCCGCCCCGAAATGTCCCCCATTAAATCCTACAGAAGGTTTGTACTTACACTTTAGGTGAGCATCTAAAGACCATAAGAGCACAAAGACTATAAAAGATTGCAACAAACTTCTATGAGCAATTAATTTTGTATCTCGGCTTTACCATCAAACTCTGATGGTTCCCTTTGGAGATGCTGTTGAAATTACTGATTGCTTAGCTAACGTAACCATCAAAATAAAACCTTCACTGAAACCTTATATTGTCTCTCTGTTCCCCAGCATTCTGATGATAAAATACTCTTACTGATAAATATTTTTCCAAGATCCTCAGTGCATCCTCCCTTGTCCTCCAAATGAGGTGTAGCAGAAGAATACAGAGGAGTTTTCTAATTCTGGTTACAGTGCCAGCGTTAGGACACATTCTCTCTCAGGAAGTCTATTTACCTCATCAAGGTAAAGCCTCTCACGTAGAATTTTTATTGCTGCTTTGTTAGGTGATGCTAGCTACTACCCCTTCATTTTCTGTTTTGGGGGAGAGTTTTTTTGGCTATCTTTTTATTTCATCCTGACTGTTCTAAATTTTATAGCCAGTTTGGTTTGGCGGTTACAGACAATGGGCTAGAAACTGGGAGATCATGAGTTCTAGTTCTGTCTTGGGCACAAAGCCAGCTGGTTGACTTTGGACCAGTCCCTCTCTCTCAGCCCTTGGAAGAAGAAGGGAATGGCAACCCACTTCCGAAAATGCTGCCAAGAAAACTGCAAGGACTTGTCCAGTAGTCGCCAGGAATCAAAACTGACTTGAAGATTATAAATTTAGGCTTTCCCCTACACTGGGGGGTGGGGGATTCTTTTATGTCTTTATCCAGTTTTTTTAAAGCCTGGATGCTATAATGCATTGAAAAGCACTGAGGCTAAGTCGGAAAGGTAGAGTTAGGTAGATATAACTGAGAAGATGGCTAAGCCCTGACCAGATGCTGAGAATACTTAGCTGAAAACACAAAGTAATTTTCAAATATGACAAAGGCATGTGATGCTTCTGTATGTATTTGAGCAGGAGAGAGGGAAAGGGAGAGGGAGAGATGGAAGAAAGAGAGAGTGACTCTCCCTATGGATGCTGAATTCCTAAATGTTCCTACCTTTCGTATCTCCAAACTGAGCTATTTCTTTACAAAGCCTAAAATCAACAGTGGTAACTCTCAAACTGTCCATTGAAAGCACATGTTTAAATAATTATTTCAATAATTATTTATTTCAAGAAAGGCTCCAGAGAGTGCAGACAGTATGCACCCCAAAGGTCTTTGCCTACTCTTCCTCCCTACAGGTCGGTTTTGGACTCCCTACAAGTCATTTTTGACCTTGAAGTCAAGAAACATTCTCGAACAGCTTGGCTTCACTGGCATCTGCAGGATGAGGGAAGGAGGGGGGCAGAATGATGAAAGCATGGTGGCATTACAACATAAGCCCTGTCCCCTTGGTGCATGTGTCACAACTTTACACACACATATGAAGAACCAGAGCTTGTGCTGCAAAACTGCTTCCATCAGTTTGATAAAAGCTCCTGCAGACACCCATGTTTGGGTTCCTCCTAAAATCAGGTCATTCCTACTCTCATAAGATAAGAAAGCTTGTCCTGCTCTAAAACGTGGTATCTAGTCCTAATTCTAGTCCTAATGTGAATAGCAGGTTCTATTTGGATAGCCAAAGACAATTTTAAGTGATTTTGTAGAAAACAAACATATTACCTGCTCTTGGACGTTTTAAGAAACCCAGCAGAAGCCGCATGTACAGTTAATGCCAATTATTACCTTTCCAGAATCTTAGATTTCCTCCCCGCATCTCTATATTTTTTGCATTAATGGCCTAATTTAGCTCTCCATGAAAATCAATAGATCAATTTCCATAAGAACTGGACCAAGTTCTGCATTTCAGAAAGTTTCCAAATGGATGTTATTTTATTTTATTTTATTTTATTTTGAGGCCAAGATTTTAGCCCTTATTTTACTAAGCCTTACTGCAACATGATCCTATTGAGAAACTTGTTCAACATCCAAACTGTTGTTTTTAACAGAAATGCAAGTTTTTATGGGGTGGGGGTGTTTTTCCTGGCAGAGTTAAAGTCTTTTAAACAAGTGGATATTAAACAAATGAAAAAATTCTGAGGACTATGTGGCTATTGTAAGAGGGCAAGAGGAATGTGTTGGACTTCTGCCTATCTTTAGGGCGGCCAGAGACTTCGGCACTTTGGCCTTTATTGAACTTACTATATGATATGAATCTCCAACTTGAAAAACACCTATGAAATTTTGAAATTTGAAAGGTAGGTGCAACTTCTGGGGAAGAAATGGTGAAATGAAGTTGGAAAAGAAAGCAAAGCCAATGATCACAGCGGAATGAAGAGTCAGTGAGTAGACCAGCTCTTTGTAATTCCTCTGGACAAGGAGAGGACTCGAGATTGCCCCCAAGTGCTCCAGACAGTCACTCCTCATGAGGAGACCTCAAGGCAGTGGTCTCTGGTGGGCTTAGAGCTCTGGGAGACAAGTCAATATCCATCTTGCTCAAACCACAGTCAGCACCTTTAAGAACATTGGGTTCACACACTTCCTTTTCTAATCACTTTTGGAAATTGCTTGTTAATTGCTTTTCAGCTATTAGGAACTTTTGGCTCAACTAGTCTGAAAACACTGGGTGAGTTTCCTTCAATCCTTAGCAAAAGAAGTTTTAAATCCAAGTTTAAGAATTAAAAAAAACCAACAACAACAAAAGGGTGACTAGCACTTTTTGATTTTGGAAAGTTACAAATGGGCTAAGGTTCCAGATGGAACTGAAATAAAATTTTGGAATTAATTATAAGAATCCTTCCTATCAGAAAATGCTGTTGTTTTGAATTCTCTTTAAAAAAAAAAGTATGATAGGATGAGACTTTGAAAGTTGGACACTAGAGGGAACCAGAAGGAACTAAAGATTACAATTAAAAGAGAAGAACACTTAAATGTGATCAACTTCATTCAATGAATGAAGCAAAATATTTTAACATTGGACATAATGAAGGATATTTTTGAAGGTTAACTTTAAAGGTTTAAACATTAATTTTAAGAGCGTCTGAGTCTATAGATAGACCGTGTTTAAAAGATGTTATGGAAGAGGAACAAGTTTTACTTGACAAGACTGAGACTGATCTCTAAGTGGGGAGTCACTTCTGGTGAGGAATGGCGAACTGATGCCCTGCACTCCGCAGGAGACATTGCAGCCGAAAGACAGCTGGATGTGGGATCCAGACTGCTGATAATTCTCTCTGGATGAAAGAGAGATCTTGAGGTTACCCCCATGCACTCTAGTTGTTTTGTGAGTTCACAGCAGAAACTGACATTTTTGCAGTCGCTTGCGATCAGCTGGGAGTTGCAGGTTTCATCATGCTCTGTGCCATTAATGTAGCCTTTTCATGGACTAAAGTTTGACCAAACCTCATCTTTTTAATCACCTTGGAGCTTATTTTTTTTCTTACTGTTTCTTTAAGATTGAAAAACCTTTGGAACTGCAAGTTGGGTATTTGCTGTATGAGTCTCTCTTTAATCTGTTTAAAAAGAAAGAAACTACATATTTCCAGCTTTGTAAGATCTTGATTTTTTGCAATATATAACAAAAGGGGAAGTATAGTGTTGTTTTTTGGAAAGTTTTTAAATGCTGAAGATTTGGATGAAACTGATTTCAAGAAAGACTTTGAAGTTAATTAAAAAGATCCTCTTGTATAAGAAAAAAATTCATGTTTATATTTCGACCTGATAGCAAAGCTTTGAAGGTTAACCACTAGAGAGCACAAGATGGCTACTTTAAAGTTATGTCTTTTAATTTTTAGACCTTTTGTTGATTAATAAGGAGAGTTGAGGATTTAGAGATGGGTCTATAGAAAATGGGGTGAAGTATGGAATGAAGATGTATTTGGTTGTATTTTAAGAGACAGTGATAAGTGATGTTGAATATACTTGCTGGGGATGAAGGGGGAACTTTCTTCTTATTTTGGGGGGTTCTCTGCACTTTCTTAATGTTACTATTTTTTTTCTTTTAATATATTTTTGTATTAGGCTCTTGTATTAGTTTTATCTGTTTTATATAATCTTTAATAAAATTATTGGGGAAAAAAGAAATTGTTCTGAAAGTGGATTTAAAAATGACAGGCTACAAGAATGATATAGAAAAAGATGTTGCACTGTACATACAAAAGAAACCAACTGATGTCTTAATAACTCAAAGGGATATACAAATAACAAACCAAGAGAGTGACCTGGATAATTTTCCTATATTGGATTTACAAAGAGGCTTGTTAAAGCTTTGAAGAATTTTGAGAGAAGGGACAAAGAAAAAATGAAAAATAAAATCAATCTAGGACATTATTTGAAAGGATTAAAGATCAAGATTGTTAAAAGTAAAAGGAACAAATATAAAGTTGGTTTATTTGATCAAGGTTAAAATATATATGTTGTTATTTCTGGTAACCCTTAATGGACTTTTGCTGATCAGGACTGAAAAGATGAGGCTTTAAGGATTTGTTTACAGATAAAAGATGGGATATGGGAAGAAGAAATCATTTGTTGTATTTTAAGAAAATGTGATAAGTTACTAAAATTGTTTAGCCTTGTGATGAAGGAGGAAGTCATTTCTTTAAATATTTCTTTTCTTTTTCGTCACTATATTCTTATTTTTTATTACTCTTCTATTTTCTTTTTTTTTCCTGCACCTTCTATTTTTTTCTTTTTATTCTTTAGGGTTTTTTTAGTTTGCATTAGTTTTTATCTTTGCTATTGTAATTTTTAACAAAATTACTATTAAAAAGAAACAAGAAACTTGAAACGTAGGTGCAAAACAAGACCAGGCAGAATTGAACATAGATGCAGGCACTCTGGCCCTCACCCTGATCCACAAAAGATGATGCAGGTTTGACTTGTTGGATTAGATACCGTGATTATAAATCAGAGGCATAATCAGAAAGCTATGCGGCCATGTATTGAACTGGAGACACAGCTCTACATCCGGAGTCACAGCCTGTTTTCCTTTAAGCCTGTGTCTTGGCAAAATCTCTTCAAGGTTCCAGACAGAGTATGTCTCCTTTACCTGACCTTCTAAAAGGAGATGCCAAGACTAAACATGGAGTCGCCTGTAAGCCCAGCAGATATTCCATGGCTGAATTTGCACCACACCTAACTTCAAGAACCATGTCAAGAGAAAGGGATTGGCAATGAAATCATGCAGGCACTGGATTCTTCTTCTCATTCCCCAAGAACTGGATGACATCAGGAGTGGAACGTGGTGGCGGGGGTTTTTCACATGCTTTCCTCAGTACAAATGTTAGGTGAGACCTTGCAGGAAGAGAATTGCACCTGACTCTTTGGAGAAGAGCACGGGACATTATACAGGAGAGGCAGAAAACAATAATCCCCATCTTCTCTTGCATACAACACCTCCCCATGCTCTATGGAAGAAAAGTCTTTGTGGGTTGCCAGTCGACTGAACAGCAAGTATACAACCTATTCTCAGACTATTGTGTTGCATCAAAAAGAGCTTCTTTAGCAGCTGAGCTGGAAAACATGAATCTTGCAGCACCACATATTTGCAGCAACACAGCTGCGCTGGTAGACAATACCGCAAAGGTACTGCAGGTATCTTGAACGGCAAAATATGGATCTAGGACTTTTCTCTAAGCTATCCCCCTTCCACTATCTAAAGAAAGCAGTAATGTACATCTACTATCACATTTCCTCAGAAGAGCAGTTCATGACATTTCCATCCAAGCAGAAACTCATCGTTGTGCCAGGATAAGTAAGCATTAAAAACAGAGTATTACAATAAGTGAAACTCTGAAGCTTTTCTACACTCAGCCAAGTCATTGATCTATCGAGCACCTAATGCATGGGTGGGCAACCTGCAACCTACATCTTACTTATGCCACCCGCACACCCAGCTCCCTGAATATCCTCAAATAAGTGTAGCTAATCTTTTTGGCCCCTATGTAGCATTAGAGGGTTTTTTAAGGAGAAAATGGATGACTTAAGTCTTGTGGTGGCGTCACATTTTTTTTCCTTTAAAAGAAATCCACCCACACCAAAAATTGGGCTAATTTTTCTCAATACCATACAGTCAGCACTTGCTAGTAGTAATTTTAAATATTTTGGGGTGGATTTCTTTCTTTTTTCCCAATTTGTTTTTGGAGAAAAAAGAGAGGACTGATCATTTTCCTGCCAAAGATTTTCTTATAAACTGATTTTGCTATCAGTGTCTAGATAAATGTGTTGTGTGTACACACACACACACACACACACATCTATCTTTTCATCTAGCTAGCTAGCTCACTTTTTTAGGCTGGAAATATCTAGGTTACTAATAAAGCATACTGACTTTCTGAACTTAGCACAGAATAAAAAAAATATTTTTTATATCCAAACAAGAAGACAGCTATTATTTTGTCTATACAGATCTTTCTGGAGAACATTCTCCATTACTAGGCACAAATCTGATTCACATCAACCAATTAAAAAAATTGAATAAATTGCTTGCCACTCTACCTTGGTTAGAGTTTTGGCATATTTCACCGAGTTATTTTGCCCAAATCTTACCTTCACCATCTTGCCTTCCAGCTAATATATCTGCACCGACCATGGTCCCTACGCCCAACAGACAAACAGCAACAGCAATGAAATGGATTAGTTTATATCTTGCACGGAGGATGAACCATGATAAAGCCATCAGCACAGGAATCCCAAAACAGTCCAGGAGCTGCCATATGCAGAAAGAAAGAGTTCTCCATCATAAAAAAAGAATGGGAAGTGCTCTTTTCTCATCCAGATAGGAGATGCTCAGGACATGGTATCTGACCAATGTAAATCCAGTTAAGCAGCCTAAATGGTCTTTACCCAGTTAATAGCAGCACCTGGTTGATCTTGGCTGTATCAACCAAAGCCAAGCAGGATGGTACGTGGTTAATATCTCAATGAGAGACCACAAGGAAGTCCAAGGACTATAGTCTAGGCTGGGGAAAAAAAATCCTAGAAGGCAGTATTTCCAAACTGTTACCAAGAAAATGTAATGGTTGAACTGAACTCAATGAGATCTTTTCAGATGGTCTTCAATGGAACACAGGGGTACATAAACTAGTTCTAAGGCCCTTCCAAAGCTGTCACTGAATTATAAAGTTCAAGGTGATAGAAAATTGTTTAATATATGGGGAGTCTTCTTATTAGCTCTAAATTAAATATATATTTAAATTAATAATCTAATCTAAATTTAAATTAAACCAAAGTTCATTTTTTTGCCCTCATATCAACGACATCTTTGTCCTGACCAAAGTCTAGTGTCTTGGTCAAACTTTTCTGAGTGCCGAAGTCAAACCTGATTCTTGACCTGAAAAATATTCTGCTCCCACTGTCTAAGGCCATAATCAAACTTAAAGATAGTTGAGGATATGTTCCAGGTTTTTTACTGGGACTGGATCATTAATTTTTGCTGAATTGCATTCTGAAAGTCTCTATTTGTGCTACCACTCTTTCCCATGTAAAACAAAACTATAAATTCCTTTATAGTTGCAGTAGCCAAAATAAAATATTTCCAAAACCCAAAGAAAGAAAACATAAAGAGCTAACCACATTTTATAAATCTTATTTTCCTTTAGCTAATGCTTCCATTTCTGCCAATATTTTTGCTCAAGGGTTTTCATAAGGTGATCTGTACTGGGAGAAATTAATCACACATACCAAGTCATGCATTATCAACAAATGAAGAGTCTGATAATATGATAAGCTATGTAATCTTTTTCATATAAACCTTCCTGTTGTTTTTTTATTTATCCCTTTTTGCAACTAGATACTATATTTGCATCTTTGTCTCCCTTTTGTTTCTTCATAGAATGGAGCAACTTAAATAGGATGCCGATACCTTGCTGGAACCCCGAACAAGAGTCTTCCAGACTGGAATGTTCTTTTCAAATGAAGCCATATTAACAACAGCAACAAAAAGTATGCCACTTCAAATGAGATTATCCTGAGTACATTTTTAAAAAAATTGGCCTCAAACGAAGCTGGAATTAAAGAGATTCTTCCTCTGATCCTTGTAATTTAGCATCTGTTCCCTCCAGATTTATCCCCAAATGTCCTCACCATGAGAAGTAGTGTGATGTAGTGGTTAAGGTGTTAGACTAGGACTAGTAAGACCCAGGTTCAAGACCATCCTCAGCCTTGGAAACTCACTGAGTCACTCTCTCTCAGTTCAACCTTCCTCACAAGATTGCTGTTGTGGAGTTAAAAAATTGTCAGCTCTGGGGAAAAAAGGCAAGATATAAATTTAATAAATAAATACTATAGATCCTCTGGTTAACACTGGCTCTTTGCTCTGATGTTACAGTGAGACCATGAAAGTAAAAAAACCAAGATACTGAATTATAAATAAGGCCTGGAGAAGAACTTTGTACTGGAATTCCAGGATTGTTCATGATTCTTTGTGTTTTGTACATTTTTAAAAAACTTTTAATTGTAAACCACCCAGTTGTTGGGCATTGGGCAGCCTATAAATTGTATGTATGTATGTATGTATGTAAAAATAAAGGTACACAACTGATTATAAATTTAGCAAGTCAGTGATTGAATGCCATTCACTATTTTTCTCCTGAGTAGTGGAATGAATACACAAAGATTAAGAACATTACCTTCATGGGGACCAGGGTCCCCAAAATGTCACCCACAAATCCTCTCTGATTATAGTACAGTGGTACCTTGAGTTACGAACGCCCCTCCTTGCGAATTTTTCGAGATACGACCAGCTCCGGCCCCAAAAATTTACCTCGACTTGCGAACTCCCCCTCGAGTTACGAACCGGATCCGCAGCCATTTTCCCTGCTGCCACGTGGTCGCGGCTTCCTGTGGGCGAGATCGCGGTAGCAAGGAGACGTTCAGTGAGGCTTGTGGTGTGTTTTGTGGAGTTTTGGAAGGTTTTTGGTGTGCTTGTCATAAGGTTCAGACATTGAACCTTATGGGGAAATTTGCCTCGTGGTGCGACCAAATTCAGAGGGCGGAATGGATTAACCGTATTTACATTGAACCTTATGGGAAAATTTACCTCAAGTTGCGACCAACTCGAGTTGCAAACAGAGTCACGGAACGGATTAAGTTTGTAACTAGAGGTACCACTGTATTAATATCCAGCAGCCTCTGAATAGCATGAAATGGGATCTTTCTGTAATTTTTTAAGAACTCATCGA